AGAGAGAGAGAGAGAGAGAAGAGCAGATCATTGCTGAGGGGAAGGTATCTCTACCTGGTGACATGGGGTTGGTCTTACGTGTAGACCGTCTAACAAGAAAAACCAAAGGATAAGAAATAATCTTATAATGGCAACTTGGGGCAACAAGAGCAACAAGTAACACACTCATATAAATGGTAGTGAAATAACTTCATTTAGACTCTACAATATCTACACTTTCTACTCTTTTATTCTCCCAACAACTTTATTGTTTATCGGCTTCTACATACACTGACTTAGGCATCAGAGGCTATTTGCTAGAAATCTCATCTTCCGGTGTTGAGTTCTTGTAGGTATGAGGGTCGTTCGAGGTAGAAGAAATTTTCCCGTTGTAGCAGTTCGAGTAGAGACCGAGTGAAGCCCAATGGATACATATATATATATATATATATATATATATATATATATATATAGATAGAAAAGAAAAAAAAATTCATGTAAGTTTTTTGGCGGGATGGTTAATAACATAGTTAATTTTATTTTTGGTAATTTAAATTATTGTGATGTGATTAGTTTATGTAATTAGCAAAAATAACCTAAATATAAAATGCAACGGTTATTGGAAGGAGAATACCACATACCCAAGAGCGCTGGGATGAGATGGCTTGGGTCTCTTCCAACTTAACCAGTGGTCTCGTGTTCGAGCCCTGTGAATGCAGCAGTGTTAAAACTCTTGAGGGAGAGCTTTGTCGCCCTTGTGGTCCTACCCGGCTCGATTCCGGATTAGTCGGTTCCCCTGTGGATCCGAAAACTGGAAGGTCCCTGTACCAAAAAAAGAAGGAGAATACCACATAGGCAATATTAATTAGGTGATTATTGGAAGGAGAATGCCATGAGTAAAACTAACTAGATTTTATTTATGAGGTTTTATTTAATTTTTTCAAATATATACATATATATATATATATATATGTTTGTTCTATAATTACAAAGGTTTTTATTTAATGAATAATGAAAAATTCAATAAAAATAAATTATTAAAAACTATTTTCAAAAAAATATACTATGTTAAAAGGTAAAAAAGGAAAAGAAATAATTCTAGAGAATAGTCCTTTTAGTAAATAAAAGTATTTAGTAAAAAATTACATATATACATATATATTGAAAAAGCATGACCTTCTTCAACAAAAATAAATAAGACAAAATTGTAAATTATCACATGCAATTATCTCGTAAAATATTTTAATTTATATTTACTAGGCATTTTTTTCCTCAAACTAAAAGATTTTAAATAAACAAAATTATCCTAGATAATGAATGTTATAAATTAATTTTTTGATGAAGTCTTTTTATCACGATTTTTAAATATTATTATTGTCATTTAAAAATTATGTTTCAACTTTCAAGACATTTGAAACAATCCATTATATAATGTATTTGTTTTTGTTAATTAAAATTATAAATAAAAAAAAGGCTTAATTGCATCTAAAATTGATGTAAGGAAGCGTGAATGAAAGAGAAAAGGATATGATGAGATACTCTCTCGTAAAACACGCAAAACTCAATCTTATATCATTTTAATAATCAACTCCCAAATAACAAAGAAGAATGAGTCTTTAAATAAGACTCCTAAAGCCCTAAACCTAACTTATTCATCAAACTACTAAATAAATAAATAAATAAATAAATAAATAAATAATAATAATAATAATAATAATAATATTATTATTTATTTAAAGTATCCACATCATTCTCCTCCAGTTCGGAAGGCTTCGCCCTCGAAGCCGATGTGCACCCGTGGCCGGCGTGTGGCATCAAACCCGAACCTATGGTAGGAAACCTCGTCGTTTTTCCCGGTCGAATACGAAGGTTGAACGCCTCACCTCCATGGTATAACCCCCTTGAAATTCATGGAAAGACATATATGCAACAACCACACATAAAATATTGAAGTCACCGTGGGGATCAAAAAACAACATTTGTTTGCAAGGTGGCAACAAATTCTCGTGGGAGAAAAGCTCGAGCCTGCGCAACAGAAGTACTACTAATTCTTCCAGCAGCTGAATTTTGATAATCGGAACATGATAGAATTCCTGTAGCCCCGCAGGTTCCTCATCGAAAATCGGCGGACCGTCGTAGAGATCGTCCACTTCGTCGGTAAGACGCTCCTCCACCTCTTCGGGTCCTTCATCAAAATAGGCGGACCATCGTATAATGGCCCGTCAACTTGCTCTTCATCGAATTTGGGGATGTCAACGCAAAACGGGCCTTCCCATACCATATTCGCGATCAAGTCCCCAATCGTGTCGGATACGATAACCGCCGGAGAAGTCGCCATCTTCAATGCCGTTCAGAGCTAGTGGGGACCGTTGCCGGGGAGCCCGGACATGGCTGCGTCCCCCACAACCGCCTCTGTCTCCCCCGCGAAAGCCACGACCCACAGCTCCATCGCGGTTCATTTGTAATTCTGAAACAACCACGTTGTTAAGCGTCAAATGCAAATCATCGACCCCGTCGAAAGATCGGCAAATCAATCCGTGAAACGCACATCCAAGTCTTAAAATCGGTAGTCAATCTGTTGAAACCGATCGTTGAAGGTTGCATCACGTTGTTTGTTTGCGGCATCTTGTTGTCCCGGTGGCATCGCGAATCGTACTGACTGTTGATACCAACTGATGTAGGGAAGCGTGGACGAAAGGAACGACGAGATACTCTCTCGTAAAACACGCAAAACTCAATTTTTTTCATTTCAATAATCAACTGCCCAAATAACAAAGAATAAGGAGTCTTTAAATAAGACTTCTAAAGCCCTAAACCTAACTTATTCATCAAGCTACTAAATAATAATAATAATAATAATAATAATAATAATAATAATAATAATAATAATAATAATAATAATAATAATAACAATAATAATAATAATAATAATAATAATAATATTTATTAGAGTATCCACATCAAAAATCCTCACCATTTGTGTTTTTGCAAATAAAACTCAACATTTTTACCTTTGCAAATAAATACCAAATTTATTATGTGTTGCAAATTTGTCTCAATAACATTTTTCGGCCAATCCTTGTTTACGTGTCCGGTCAGAAATCTTACGTGGCAATTATGAGGCTTGTGTGGCATCATCTTTAAAACTCTTCACCATGTTTTTGCCACATCATATGCCAACAAATTAATCAAATTAGAGTTTAGTACGTACCAATTGAAAAAGTCGGATTTTATCACCATTTTTTTGCTCCATAATCCTTATAAAAATCTAGTTCTTCTCCCCCAATTTAAAAAAAAAATATTTGCAGCGATTCTTCTCTTCTCCATGGCGTTATTCTTCACCAAAATCGAGTTCACTCCCAACATTCTGAATACATTAACGAGCTCACCCCCAAATTCTGAAAAATTGGGCAGAGGGAGCGATATTTCGAGTGATTTTAGGCTATTTTAGTGTTCTGATCGGATACGTCAGCAAAATTGGCCGGAAAAATAATTTTAAGACAAATTTGTAACACATAATAAATGTTTGATATTTATATTCAAAGATAAAAAAAAAAAAAAAAAAATAAAATTGAGTTTTATTTGCAATTACACAAAGATGATGATTTTATGTGCAATTAAGCCATAAAAAAATTGATTAGACCATATAAATATATTAAAAAAAAAATCAAAATCAACCAAAAATATGAATCATGCAAAGGTGTACCCTACTTTACTAATAATGTGAAAGTGAAATGTGGGAATGTGCTAAGAGAAGAAATATGTTGAGAATGATATAAAAATATACACGAGCCCAAAAATAAATACCGAATCCCCAGAATTGGTAGAAAATTATTTGGGTTTCTCATTTGAAAATGACGAGTTTTTCCAACAAAATGTTCTTCATTTGCCCTTTGTAGCTAGCTGTACTTGAATTCAAAGCCACAAGCCAAGCATAGATTCATATATATTATTTATATATTCCGCTTTCCTTTTCTCTTCCGCTGGGGGTGATGAGTTTTATTGCGTAGGGTAAAAAGATAGATGATTCGGACCTCTCCGATGTCAACAGTACATACGTTAATATAATATGATGTACTCATCGGAGTAGGAAGCTTACATACGTATCTACTGTTAGAAAAACACCAGCATAAATTAATGTTAATGGGCCATTCGGATTAGTCGGCTCAAGAAAAGGGGTTTTTTTTTTTTTTTTTTTCATTTCATTTCTACTTTCTGGTAGCCGCAGATGAGTTCTGGGGCTCTTTGGAGAATGTTTTCTTGTTCAAGCGCATTAACTCTCTTGAGATTATAATCCATCTCAAAAAGATTCAATCTTTTTCAAAATTCATATTATATTCATACAGAAGTACACAAAATCCAGATATATAGAGAGATATATAGATAGGGAGAGAGAGATGAAGGAGCTGTTTGGGAGCCCAGGAAGGAAAAGTGGGCTGATTTTGAGAATTGGGCAGTGTTTGTTTGCAGGTGCTTCAATTGCAGTTATGGCCTCTGCTTCCGGCTTCTCCACCACCACTGCTTTCTGGTAACCATATGTTGTAAATCAATAATAGTTTGTTCCAAGATCCTCTTTTTAGCTGTTTCTTGTTTGTGTTACTTGTGGAAGGTGACTCCGGGTGTTTGTTCATTCTTGTCTGATTTGTAAAGTTACTAAAGTATAGTGATTGTGATAGCTTGGTGGGTTGAGAGAGATTATTGTGGGTTGATAATTTTAGAAAGAGATCCCCACCAAACATAACTGAGTGTCTGTGTCCAGGTTGTTTCTCAAATTATCATGTGGCAAGTCATTTAGCACAGATAATACACTGCTGAAACAAAGATATATCTAAGGAAAGAAACATTAAGTACTGAGCTTGAAGTCTTTGCTGATGCCCAACTTTTTTCGGCATCCGATAAGACAATAACTATTAGGGTGTAATCCGATTTTTGAATCAGATAATTACTCATCTGGCTCATGATTTCCTTTCAGTGCCTGGAATGGCTATACGTTTTCTGTATGAATGATTTTTATTATACTTCAGAAGTTTCTTTTACTAATGAGGGCGGCGAAAATGTTGGTTTGTCAGCTACTTAATTGCATCAATGGGGCTTCAAGTTCTGTGGAGTTTTGGACTTGTGTGCCTTGACATACATGCTTTGAGGTTCAACAAGGACCTTCATACCAACATCATTGTGAGCCTGTTCGTCGTTGGCGATTGGGTAATTTTCATCTTTTAATCTCCATTCCCTTCTACCTCTGCATGCTCTTCAACTTATTGTCTAAGCCCATCTATGTCAGATAACCACCAGTGACAGCGTTGTGGCAAATGGTTGATTGATATTATCCTTGTGAAGTTATTGCTTATGTTTGTGTGAATGTTAGCCCCCAAGAACGATGAAGGCGCAAAATTGACTTTTAACTTCTGTCTGCAAACTCAAATCCAAGGCATCAAAGCTTTATTAAAAATGTCCAGCTTAATAAATAGTGTCAGGCTGGTAGCTGTAGAAGAGATGGCCGTGGACAACACTAGTTTTTTTCTGATAAACCCTGGTTTTACGAACCCAGACTCTTTAATATCTGTCTGTTGAGCAGTTATGAGATTTTATTTGTATTACATTTATAGTGATCACACATGGATTTTGCTTCTTCTTGAATATAATCAAAATGACACAATGTACTGCTTTTCCCTTGTGTTTCTAGATTTCGTATGTTATTCCGTGTAGAAGCATGTTTATCTATATAATGAAATTTGCAGAGATAGCTATGAGAATCTATTATATCCTTATTTTAAGAATAAAAATGTGAGTAACAAGAAGGATAAACATTTTGTAACCACAAAGAGTTTGAAGTCGTGAAAGCAGGAATTTTGTTCGGGCCTTGGCCCACCCTTCTGCTGCCTGGGCTTAACTTGTAGGAGTGAAAACTTTGAGGTTGACTTTTTTACTTGACACCATTGTTTTGGAACTTTGTTACGTTACATGCTACCAGTTAGTTTGCTTTTCATCTGATCATTTCATCATGTATTGTCTGTTGAAGTAATTCTCTCTGAATGTTTATTTCTGTTTTAAATGCCAAAAGTACCCCAGAGCTAGACCTCATCAATCAGATGCATCACTAGTTGATTTTGCAATCTTATCTATTTTTGGTTGCAAATAAATATTGAGAGATTCCCCTAATTGATTGAAAAGAATAGCTGATGGGGTAGTAAAAGCACATAGCAACAGGGAATCCCCTTAATCTCCATCTTGCAAAGACAGAACACGTTGGAAATTATTATTTCAGCCTTACTCTTCTATTGTTATGCTTACTACATAATTTTTCCAGAATAATTATTAGAAAATCACTCTAGTCAATAGGCATGTTGAAGGTCATCGAATGAACTTTCCGAAGATTTTTAGAACATTTGAAAGGTGAAATTCATATATATATTTGAACAATTACAGGGTTTAGTTAGAACATAGGGCAATTAACTGATTAATGCATCGTTTAATAGAAAAAGCTCATTAATTGTTCATCTCAACGTTAACTTAGAACAGTCATAGTCTTCCTCTTCATCTAGTCTGTCTCCATCTGAACATAGGACAAAGAGTTAACGAGACAACTGACCTTCAATCTAGGTATGGGTAATTCCATTTAATGAATAAAGAAATCCAAAATACCCACAGGATATCTGACCTTGTTCTGCTGGTATAACGTTTCAATTGTTTTTTAGCAGTTGAGATTTGTAGTAGAATACTCGAGCTGCGAAACATTTCTTATGCAAAAGATAGAAATGGTTGGCTCATGTTGGAGAGTTGGTAAATTCAGATGATAATAAATAAGTTGATATATGCCTAAAAGACCTCACTTAGCACCATTTTAGTTAATCTAGACAGAGTTGTTATGTTGGTGTATTTTGATTCCACGTTTGATTTTACAAGTCATCCATTTTGCACAGGTGACTGCTACTCTATCTCTTGCAGCTGCATGCTCGTCTGCTGGTGTTATGGTACTCTTCACGAAAGATACAAATATATGCAGGCTAGATACCAGTCTATCGTGCAATATGTTCCAGATATCCATTGCTTTTGCCTTTCTATCATGGTTTCTTCTTGCCATATCATCATACGTCATGTTTTTGCTTGTTGCGTCATTTTAAACAGTTTATTGTCAATAACTTGACACATGACGACTTGATCACACACGCAATGTATATATATTGTCACTTTTGAAGAGTTCCACGATGAACATTTGTCTTTGTTTTTTTTTTTTTCATTTTCCCACCAATGGTATAGAACCTGTCTTGTGAGTGTGTACTCTTACGTGATGGTCATCAGGAATATATTTGTTCGTAAAAGTACACGTGATTAATTCGTGGGCTATTGTTTGGTGTCCTTTAGTTAAATGTGACGTGAACCATGAAAATCAGCGTTTGGGGTTTATATATGAGTGAACTTCAAGATCTTTTGCAAGTCGAGTTGTTCACTTTATATTTGTTGTGCTTCTCCAACCGAGCTTGATCTGCAAACGCAAACGCAAAATTGAAAGAATCTGCACTCCAATGGACATGGATTTGCTGATCCAATATCCGTTGGTCACTGGATTTTGGCCGGATGAAATGCAGATATGCGTTTCATTTTCTGGAAATGCAAAAACTTTTCAAAATTGTAGATAGGCCTTTTATATTTTTTTGCAACTCACATTTACTACTATTTATATTATACGTGTTATTTAGTTTAATATTTTTACCATCTTTTTTTTTATTAAGTAGTTTATATTATTTCTAATTTTGCCTAATAAATTTGGTTGCATCAATAATTATCAGCACAACTATAAAAAAATAAAAAGAAAAGTAAAACATTAAAATACTACAAGTTTACATGACATTGGCTGTAATAAGAGAATGGTTGTAATAAGAAAAGGTTCGTAACCAAACACAATATTAAAAACATTAAGCATGTAGTCATGAAATTGAAAAATATCATTCAAATACTGAAAATAAAAATACATCAAAGAAAAATAACTTCAAGTATGGGACGTAAAATTACATCATAAATCATGTACCAAGGGATGCTTGTGTTGCTGACTCGAGAGTCGGGTTCTCTAAATCGGACGAGGGATAATGACTATATTTTTTTTCTTTGATCACTGTAGCACAATCTTTAAAAATTTCAAAATTATTAATAATATCCCAAGGGATAATGACTATATTTTTTTTTTTGATCACTGTAGCACAATCTTTAAAATTTTTAAAATTATTAATAATATCCCAAACATGATTGTATTTCCATTCGGATTTGGATCTAGGATCTTGCTTGAATAACACTTTTGTCATGGGCATCTACAAGTTGTTATAACTAATTATCATAGTTAATATTAATATTAAGTTGGAAAAATAAAAATAGAATGGAATGCTAATACTTAGTATATATTCATTTGAAGCTCCACTTTGATGCATATCGTCTATTGTTTATATGCATGCGTGAAGTCTTTTAACTGCTTTCTCAACTGTTTGAATTTGTGCTTGCATAGATCACTTGGTACGAACTTCTTAATGTTCAAGTTTTTCTTCGTTGAAACCTTCTTCTCTATGAAACCAAAATTGATCAGATTGTTGGTGCACCCCATGAATTGGGTCCTAAGAAATTACCGCATAAACCTGAAATAAGAGAACATTTTTATTGTGGTTATATAAAGTATCGACATTGTTACTAGAGGTTAATATGATAGATGTTGCTTCTACATAATTAAAATGATGGAATGTAATAAATCTTACTAACATCATATCTTATTTTATAGTTAAAATTTTACCTCTATGCAACGGTCTCACAACATTTAAATTTGACCTAGACATGACCACACTCTGTAAAAATTCTCACGCTTATCATTGCCCTGACAGAAAATGACCACACTCTGCAAAGATAATTACGCTTACTAAAAATGACCACTATGCAAAGATTATCACGCTTCTCATTGGCTTAACAAAAAATGACCAATTTGCAAAGATAATCACGCTTCTCGTTGCCCAGACCGAAAATGACCACTCTGCAAAGATAATCTCACTCCTCATTGCCCCGACCAAAATGACCACACTTTGCAAAGATTCTCACGCCTCTCAATGCTCTAACCTAAAATGATAACTCTTTATAAAGATTCTCAAACCTCTCAAATTTGGCTTGGTGATTGGAGGAAGGCTGAACAAAGGATGCTAACGACCATGCTAACTACCGAAAAGGATATGAAAAATGATTGTTCCAATTTCACTAGTTTTACCATAACTGAAGACGACTACCAGGCCTACGACTACGAGTACGATATGCACGGTCGGTTCAACTTCAACAACGCATCATGCCAAGTAAGTAAAAAAAGATAGAATTACAAGAACTTTGATTCCCAATATAGGGATACGCAGACAACTTAATTGATATATGTCAACTAAATCCAAGTCAAATTTTAAAAAAATTATTGAATCGGCCCGGCCTAGATAACCGGGTCATCAACCCGAGCCTAAGTAAGAGCCGGTTTTGGGTCCCTGCTTTTGGGCCCAGCGGCCCGGCTATGTATAATTGGAAATACTACTAATGCTGTCGACTAATTTACTCTTGGTTGGTTCAACCGTAATAAATTTCTACTAACCCTGCAGGGTAATAACAACTGGCCTTCAACCCCCAACTTTAATCCCAATAATCAAACATCCTCAGAAAAAACAAAATCCATTATTTCTCGAAAATCGAAAGCCCGTCGATCGAAACCCCTCCCTCAAATTCCGGCAACATCCCCTGTACCCAAATTCCTAGGGTCTTGCCATCTGGGGTTTTCACACCGATGAGATGATCGTGAACTCCGGCGACCCGAACAACACCCTGGACTCGAGCTCGAGGTCGATAAACGAGACGGTGAATGGCTCGCACCACTTCACCATCCGTGGCTACTCTCTGGCCAAGGGCATGGGCCCCGGGAGGTACATCTCGTCGGATACTTTCAACATAGGGGGATATGATTGGGCGATTTACTTTTATCCCGATGGGAAGAACCCCGAGGACTCCTCAATGCATGTCTCGATATTTATCGCCTTGGCTAGCGAGGGCACTGATGTGAGGGCGCTGTTTGAGCTCACTCTTCTGGATCAAAGTGGGAAGGGGAAGCATAAGGTTCATAGTCACTTTGATCGAGCGCTGGAGAGCGGGCCTTACACGCTGAAGTACAAAGGGAGCATGTGGTAATGCTTGCAGTTTACTATGATGCATTCTGATTTTTGTGATAAAAATATCTTTTTTTTTTTTTTTTCTTTTTGGGCTTTTAGAGTTTGATAATCCTTGAGGCATCTTCTGATTGTAAGGATAGAAATTTTGATTTTGTTTTTTTGTCTTGATTAGAGTTATGGGACTCTGGCGAGCACTGCACAATTTAGGCCTTTTGTCTTGTTTGACCAGTTATGGGGAATCTGGAATAGCAACATCTCAAGGCTTATTTGAGCCGAATTGCTTGTGCTTCTGAGTCCAATACGATGAATTAGAAGTTTCTACTGAATATTCACCAGTCTCCACGTGAGGGAGTTAAACTCTTCCACATATGGAACTAAAGAATGTATACCATTCAACATGCTTGACTGTACAAGTTTTATTCTGAATTGTAGTCTGCTTGACTGGGTTACTAAAGCAATAGCTTTCTTATGTTTCCCCAGCAACTGCTGAGCTGTATGTCCTAGCTTCTCTAACTCATGCAAACTAAGGAGAAAAGCATGTATGACCTTGACCCAATGCTCTCATATTGTTGTTGCAGGGGTTATAAGCGGTTTTTCAGGAGAACTTCCTTGGAAACTTCAGATTTTTTAAAAGATGATTGTCTTTCTGTGCATTGTACTGTGGGAGTTGTTCGAAATCGTGTTGAGGGACCAAAGTTGCTCAGTGTTTCTGTTCCTCCATCAGATATGGGTCAAAGTCTTAAGCATCTGCTTGAATCTGAAATTGGCTGCGATGTAATTTTCCGACTTGGGGAAGAATCATTTAAAGCTCACAAGTTAATTCTTGCAGCCAGATCTCCTGTGTTTAAAGCTCAATTTTTCGGACTCGTTGGAAATCCAGATAGCAATGAGGTGGAACTTGAAGATGTTGAGCCTTCTATATTCAAGGTAATAAATTATTTGTTCCTTGTCCATTACAACATTTTTGGCTGAGTGGGAGCATGGGTGCAGCTAAAGTAATTCTTGACTCCACCATAATCCTCTCATTCATTTATGTATTGGAATAACTCTTAGTCAAAATTCAGTTGTGCAGTTCCTATATCGATAGTCTCTGTCATGGTTTAGGTAGAATGGGAATGGGGTTATGAGATATTCCAATGTAGACAGAACTTGGAAGGATTTTTGTCTTCTGTTTCTGTAGGAGGTCGTTATGGGTGGGAAATAGCTTTTACTAGCTGTTAGCAGGCCGGAGCGATAAGGTTATGTGTTTAAAATTCAAATGCGGACATGACATGCTACAAAGAAAATGTGTAAAAGTGAGATAAGAAAATTTTATGAACTTCCTTCATCGTAGTGTGTTCATAGTCAGTTTCATGGAACCAATCTAGGTACGCTTAAACCTTTTTTTTCTAAAAAACAATCTTTGTGAACAACTATGAGGTGATTTGTACCACTTTCAGTCATTTTTAATGTAAATTGAAACAATTTGTGTGGCATGAATATTTTGCAGGCACTGCTCCAGTTTATTTACTCTGACGAGTTCCCCAACTTTCATGAAATAACTAGTTCAGCTTCTGCACCTTCTGCAATCTTGATGCAACATCTGTTGGCTGCGGCTGACCGCTTTGGTTTAGATAGGTTGAAACAATTATGTGAAGTGAAACTATGTGAAGAGGTCTGTGCTGATACAGTGGCAACCACTCTTTCCCTGGCAGAGCAGCATCACTGCATGCAGCTTAAGTCTATTTGTTTAAAATTTGCGGCAACAAACTTGGGAGGTGCGTGTAGTCCGTAGATCTGAGCGGTCCATTATTTCAGGTCGTGTCAATATTAATTTTCTTTTATCTGCTATGAGCAGGCACACTCTTGATGCAATTAAATTGCATTTGCCATGGTGAATGGATGTAACGGTCTTCCACTTATAATATTAGAAATGTGCTATAATGACGCATTAACATTGTCGACACACCAGGGATATTCCTCTATACATGTTCAGTTGGTCAGAGAAATTTAACCAATTCTTGTGGCTTCTATAAGTCTCCAATCTGAACCTAGACATATTTTTCTGCACAATCTGATGACTGCCAAAAAATTGGTTTGAATTTTGAAATTGGCCAATTCAATGAATGTGATTGTAGTCAGGCTGGAAATAGGTTTTTCATTTGAACGACAATTATTTCAGAATCTTGTTCTCTCCCCATCTAGGACTCCGTACATGAGGGTTACACAAAGCACAATGAGTGATTGTCGTCACACTCATTGAAGCCGCAGTTTGTATTTTCCTGTATAACTAAATATGAAAAGGGAAGGGAACTTTTATCTGGAGTTTTGAGATGATGGATATAGGATTGGATTTTACAGCCATTTTTCGTAGTTTGGGCATACTCATTTATCTAGTATGAGTCTGCTACTTTGTGTCAAAAATATGTGGCTGGATGCAGTGAGTTTTCATGCATAATTCTTCTGACCAAAGACTCATGGAGATTTCACATGATTAGTTTATGCTTAGTTGTGTGACTTGTGTCAAGTTGTATCAATTTTGTTTTAAGCTAACTATAATATGTGAGTGAGAAAACCATATTTTTAAGCCATGTGAAAGTATGGCATCTATATGCATCATCTAATTTACATTAGCAAATGTCGGAAAGAGCTAGGCTAATATTTTATATTTGAATAGCTTGCTTGTTCTACTCTGGCGTGCTCTTCTTCTAGTGATACTTATTAATGGTAGAACTGACATTCTGGATTCTATCCGCACCATGTTTGAAGTGTATGCGAATGTTGGCACATATTGATTTAGTAGACTGTTAATGTTCAATTTGATGTGGCAGTGGTGATGCGATCAGACGGTTTCAGACACTTGGAACAGAGCTGCCCCTCTCTCTTGTCCGAGTTGCTGGAAACTGTTGCCTCTGTGGATGAGAAGTCGAATCTTTTATATGGTAAGAAGAGGAGTGGGAGCAGTATCTTTGGGCTGGATCTGGCCGTGGATGGTGGGGCCCAGTCTGTGGATAACAATGGCCGGAGGCTGCGGAGGCGGGCTTAGTGTAGTGGGCTTTCCAATGCATATGAATATGCTCACTAAAGACAGATTAGATGCGTAATGTATAATCTAGCATGTTTGTTTCTACTGTTGTCAGAAAAAAACTTGTAGCTATTGTCTTTGGGTGACAGTGACACTGATGATACTTATGTTCCAATATTAAGCTTATTTTGTGGACTCCGCCTCTTCTTCTGATGCGATGTTTCTGGTCCGCCTCCTTTCAGTTTGTGTGAACACCTATGTGTTGTTTCTGGAGATCACTTTTATATATCAATAAGCATATGAGAAGAATTGTGGCCAAGATTGTCTCCTCTGGAGAGATTATTAGGTAGAGCCGTAGAAGGATCCATTGGCGAGAGAATTTATTTGCTTCCCTTTTCCATTCATGAGTTTGTATGTGTTTTCATGCCCCCGTGAGACCTCAGAAACTGGGATATACCCTAATTTGTTTATGTCCCTTCTCCAGTCAAGAGTTTGTATGTGCTTCCATGCCCTGTTTGAGACCCCAAAACTGGAAACATTGCTTTGCCCAGTGCACCTAACAATTAGATTTTACAGTTAAAAAATGTGTGCATTATTAGTTGGTCTTTCTTGACGAATGCCATCTTTATTTGGTTTTCAAAAGTTCTTAACAGGGACTATATGAGTAAATGTGCTCATGCTCAACGTAACTTCTGGTACAGTAGCATTGTTTATAACCATAACAAATGATATATTAATTCCAAGGTTTTATGATGACGTAGGCAAAAAGCACTTCCCAAATATGAAATGGCTCATGAAACACAGCCCACGTTCATTATGATTTCAAAGAAAGGAAGGAAGAATACACCAAAATTAATTCACATCATAAACTGCAACACATATGAATGCTTCTACCAGCTCGACCATTTCTAATCTCCAATGTTCTTTCATGGGCTGAAAATATGATGATACTCAGTCATCCGAACAACCTTGATCGACCTTGGCTTTCGATCTTGGCCTCCACACTTGCTGCTTTTGACTTGTGGAAGCATTCATAGGTGGTGCATTTGGGGCCCCACTCGGACTTTTATCAGCTCTTTTGTTCTGAGTCTTGTGATGTGCTTGCTGCTTTTGACTTGTGGAAGCATTCATAGGTGGTGCATTTGGGGCCCCACTCGGACTTTTATCAGCTCTTTTGTTCTGAGTCTTGTGATGTGCCTGCTTTTCCACCGGGCCGCGTCCGTTTTTCCCTTGAGGTGTCCTTGGTGCAGATTGTGGGATTTGAGTAGCTGTTGAGCCAGCTGTCCTCTGTGACGAAGTATGACGTATCCTTGGTGCAGATTGTGGGATTTGAGTATCTGCTGGGCCAGGTGTCCGCGGTACCAACTGTGACAAAGCATGTGGTCCCACCAGAACAGAAACAAGAGACATTTGATTTTTATTTGCAGAGACAAGTGCTCCACGAGTCGCTTGAATTACAGCTGATATCTTTACTAATTGGTTAGAACCAACTGTCCTAGCCGTATTTGTTGGCTGCTCAAAAGGATCTTCAACCTATCCATTAGCAACAAACAGAGAGATACGAGAGCACATAATGAGGTAACTTCTTGTGACACACACACATACACGCAGTGAGAGAAAGAGAGAGAGAGAGAGAGAGAGAGAGAG